AAAAGATCCCGGGTAGGCATAATCGTGAACGAAATCTGATAACTGACACGGATGAGAGACTTACTGGATGACAGATTACCAGAGAATGAATAGAGATGAGCTGAAGAATTTTCAGGTGACCCATATCATTAAGTGACCAAATAAGTAAATGAGGGTGATAACAAAATGGAAATAATGATGGTAGGGCATGAAAAGAGTTGAATATGGAGTCATGAATGGACTGGGTAGTAGTGTGGTATAATGAGAACAACAGATGACAAACACTAGAGAGTAAATATTAAATAAGATTAAACTGTAGACTAATCCACATCTTTCTGTACGCTGTTTCCTTTTGTGTGGTGTGTGTGTGTGGTCTGTGTTGGTCGTGATGATGTGAATCAGCTGACTAATGATCAGTCAGCAGAGTGGACCGGATAACAGAGGGTCCAAAGGGGAGTAAATTTCCTGGATGTGTGCTGTATATGAGGCCAGAGGTGTGGCCAAGAAAGGAAGGCTCGGAAGGGCTGTGTCTGGTATGCTAAGTGCAAGCTGTATGTGTGTGCATGGCCCTTGTGGTCGGTGTGCGTGCATTACATTCTGGTGTTACCAATACAGATAGAGAGCTGGGCCGGTGGAGCTGAGAGTTGAATCTAGTGGAAATGAAGTTAAAGGATAATAGAGAGGAGTGTAATGATGAAAAAGAAAAGCGGAGATATAATTAGGTGAATTAAGCAGTTGTGTTGAGTGATCTCGTTGATTTGTATATACTGTTTAATGTTTTCAATTTGCTAGAAAAAGCGTTGCATATATATATATAAACTCCAGAATGGATGAGAACGGATAGTGCAGGTAAGCAGTATAGTTCTGCAAATAGGTGAAAATGTAAGCAAGCTAAATGTGGGTCATTTTGTTTAATTTGCATAATCTGTTATGGAGCTTGAAATGACTTGAAAGTGGCTGGAAGAAACATGCAGGATGGAAATAAGAGGAAATTACAGGTAAGTGATTTGAGTTGAGGAAAACACCCACTGGGTGAATGAGTTTCTGCACTGTAATGCAAATTCTGGTTGCTTGAGGTGCTGACTTGAGCTTACTGAGTGTCTTATGCTCGTCCTATTAATCTAATGTTATTTTTCCAGATCAAATCAAACAGGAAGATGATCCCGATCCAGTTAACGTTGTCTCGGAAGCTTAGAGAAAAAGAAAACTAAAGTTGTGTAGGAGTGGGATGTGATAGAGGTTCATACAGTATATGGGAATACAAATACAATGCAGCTGAAATTAAAAAAAAAAATAGAGAGAGGCAGTAGGTAAGCTAGTAAAAGGTTATACCTTCAGTTGGTGGGATTGGATAAGATATGATTGTATGATTATGTTATCATATATATTTTCCTGATATGAATGAATATAAGCATCTGTATATTGGTATTGGGGTTGGGTCTTTACAATTGGTATCAGAGCAAACGTTCTTAGGATCATCCCTGGTACATGAGACTTAAGAACGGTAAGATCAATTTAATCTTTGAACCTGAAACTTAAATGGTTGCGTTTAAATTCCCGCATTGTGATATTGTGATTAAATTGTAGATCCATGAAATATGATGTATGCAAATTGATGCTGTTGGTCCGAATGTCTTAATTTTTGAAGTTTTGTAGACCAAATGATGAGTGAAAGGGATAAGAAAAACGAGTGGTGTAAAACCCTTGAGAGATGTAAGATTTTAGGTGATCTGAAGTGGTACATCGATTTGATATAACAAGATACCGGTTCAGTGTTGATCTGAAGCGTAGTGGTTACCTAAAGGAGTCAACTAGATCCGTCAAACCAAGTAGAAAAAAAGGGGGAAACTAGGTGGATTTAGGATGTGAATGCAGAGGGATTTTTAGGAGATAACAATTGAATGGTGGAATAATATAATGCAAGAATGTGAGACTTCAAGAATGGTGGATGTTTGGAATGGGAGTGAGGTTATAAAAATCAAATTGGAGGCTAGATGAAGATACTTTAGAGGAATTGGTGAGATGAGGTAGAGATTGTGTTGAGGTTATAGAGAGAAGGGGTATAGTACTCAGGATCAGTAGAAAGGCTGCAGATACAGCAGGGTGTGAGTGGGGAGTGAGCCGGTGAGAGGAGGGCAGAAGCCTGAGAGCACAGGTAAGCTGGTATGGGTGTAGAGAAAACGGAAAAAAAAAAAAAAAAAAAAGAGAAAATGAGAACGGAGAAAGGAAAGGGTGATTGGAGCAGGGGAAGGAGTTTATTAAATTTTGAGGAGAATTCCTTACAACCTGAGTGGAGATAATTTAGAAGATGAAAAAAATAAATAAAAAAATAAAATGCCAAGGAGGACAGTCTTGAGCGGGAGACAGACCTTCCGCTTGAAACTGCAGTCGGTAAATAAGAAAAAAAAAAAGAAAAAAAAAAGGAAATAATAGGAATGAGAGGATGAATAGCACCGTCAGAAAGTATGGAACAAGAAAAAGAGAGAAGAGAAAAAGCTGGGACATGTCGAGCGGCCAAGGGTGATCGAGGGACAGGTGTTGGAATTTATTGGCAATGGGACTGTAATGGCTGAACAGAAATATGTATCTAGCATGTAGTGATTTTATTTTGTGCACAAGCAAGTGTAAGTGGGGGCCCACCGAGTGAGAATGTGTGTGTATATGTTTATACATATACATACCTATAAATTATACTTAATATAATAATGGCTTGAATGTATGACTGGGCATGTGATAAATTGCTGTCTGCATCATAGGCATGATGGTGTGGCAGGGTCGGCCGAGAGGCAGTTGCTGCAATGAGTACATATTTATAAATATATGACTTGTATATATAACAAAATGGCTGAATAAATGTATAACTTGGCATGTGATAGTTTCCTGCTTGCATAATAGGCGTGAATGGTGGCCGGGTTGGCCGAGAGGCACTTTTTGCCGTGCATATATATATATATATATTTATTTATTTGTAGGGAGATGTTTTATAATGGCTGAGTAAACAGACATGCTAAATTTGCTGTGTGGTAAGTGTGTGCGGTGTATGGTTGATTGTGAAGTAGTGGAATGAATTCTGTGAAGATAATGATCTCCTTATGATGATTAGGTTCTGTAAAAAGCCTTGCTGTATAGTGCCTGTGTTTTGTGCGTGACGTTGGTTACTTTAGGATGGAGGCGTAACATTCAGCAGAGTCAAGAAAGGTGAGGAATTAGGAAAGGTTTAGGCTGGAAAGAATGCAGACTCGTTATGCACTCAGTTAGGCTTCAGTTGAGACTTAAACTCAATAAGATTCCAGAGGGGAGATAAATTGAAATGGTGACGGGGGAATGCTGGACAGATTTTGGGAGATTCAACTGAACTGAAAATTTAATTGTACCTATTTCAATTTGTTGGTTTGAGTTTTAAATTGATCTTATTGGATCATGTAGCTCACTCTTTTATTATATTACAGAGACAGTCAAGCAAGAACAAATCCAGGAGCTTCCGGAGCCTGGTCATGCCCTGGAATGTGTGCAGAACTAGCTTTAATGACAACTTCAGATTGGATGCAATTATTGTAAGTTAGCCAGGCTAGATAATGAGAAGAACGATGTTGTTGAGGTTACAATTGTTAGAAAAACGTTATGTTACGTATATGAGATAGGAGGGACATTGTCCGTTCATATGATCTTGTATACCGATGATTTGAAACTAATGGAAATACGTTTGACAACACACTTGTTGGTGGGGTGTTACAAATAAGATCCAGGGAGGAATCTAGTAGAGCAAGGTATATCATCAGTGTTGCAGTAAGAAAAATTGGAAGATTATCCACTTTTCTAGCGGAACACCAAAATTTGGATACTATGGAGGATAAAGCATTTGAGAGTGCCTGTACAGATACAAACCTCACAAATGAAAAAAAAAAAAAAAAAGAAAAGGAAATTGACCAGTTGAAAAGCAAACTGAAGAAACTAAAAACATCAAGAACTAATTGCTCAATGCTCCGCTTTTCTGTCAAGAGATGTAGCTTAAGTTCAAGCCCATTGTTGGGCGGCTACTATAACAAAAGTTAAAAAAAAAAAAAAAAACATCAAGAACTAGTACCCGAGCCTAATGACCATATGAGAAACTTGTTGTACATAAAGCCTATGCAGCTAAAACGGCCAATCCATTACGATTTTGAGAAACTATTTCCATTATTTTCACTACTGTTTGTAATCATGTTATAGAATAATTTGAAATACTTTTTAATGGGTTATGCGAAAGCCTTTCCAGTGAGGGATCATCCTCTTTTTAATTTTCAAATTTATGAATATCATGAAACATGAGCTTGGCTCAGATGGCAATTTACCAATATTGCTGCGCAAATCAGTCTTATCCAACATTCAACTAGTACCATACCAGATCGTATTCTTTACAAAAAGTTAGTAACCTATGTGCAACACCTTTTAGTTTTGTCAAAAAATTTTAGCATTATTTTTAACCTGTGCTATTCTTCTTTCCAGAACATGCTGCAAAACCGGGGTTCCAGATCCCACATGGTAAAAATAAAACTATAAAATGGACAGGCATAGACAATAACCTTCATCAGGCCCAATGCTGCCGAACCTTGGTCTACAAAAGAGAAAAATCAACTCATTATTCTTCATATAAATACCTACAAGATTCAGCAACCGGGTAGAATGGAAAGAAAGGTTACAGTTCGTCATGGCATCAAGAATACAAACTTATACAAGGGTTGTGCATGAGAGAGCATATCATGAATTGCATCTTATCATGATTGAGCTTAAAACAGAAAATAGCAATTAACGAAATTCAAAGTGACTGAAAATTAGTAAGAGAGTTTTATTTTTTATTTTTTTAAAAAAAACAAAAGAGTAAGAGAGGTTCATACTAAACAAGGCATGATCAACAACTATGATATGGAAATTAAATGCAGTCTCCTACTAAGAGTTGTGGTCATCTACGTGCTAGATTTTTTGGCCCCTCTGGTTCCTCAGACAAACTTGTATATTGTTTCGATGAAATTGGTTCGTAT